GAGGAGGAACCAGAGCTGGGAGGCCTGGGGATGGACTGTCCGATCTCGGGGGCAGAAGTTGCTGAGGTAGTCAAACAACTACACAGCGGCGGAGCCCCGGGGGCGGATGAGGTTCGTCCTGGGTATCTCAAGGCTATGGATGTTGTAGGGCTGTCATGGTTGACACGTCTCTACAACATTGCGTGGTCATCGGGGGCAGTTACTAGGGAGTGGCAGACCGGGGTGGTGGTCCCCATCTTTAAGAAGGGTGACCTGAGGGTGTGTTCCAACTATAGGGGGATCACACTCGTCAGCCTCCCTGGAAAGGTCTACTCCAAGGTACTGGAGAGGAGGGTCCGATCGATAGTTGAATCTCAGATAGAGGAGGAGCAATGTGGTTTTCGTCCTGGCCGTGGAACTGTGGACCAGCTCTGTACCCTTGCAAGGGTGATGGAGGGGGCATGGGAGTTTGCCCAACCAATCCACATGTGCTTTGTGGATTTGGAGAAGGCTTATGACCGTGTCCCCAGGGGCACCCTGTGGGGGACGCTCCAGGAGTATGGGGTGGGTGGCTTTCTGTTAAGGGCCATTCAGTCCCTTTACCAGAGGAGCGTGAGTTTGGTCCGCATAGCCGGTAGTAAGTCGGACCTGTTCCCAGTGAGGGTTGGACTCCGCCAGGGCTGCCCTTTGTCACCGGTTCTGTTCATCACTTTTATGGACAGAATTTCTAGACGCAGCCGTGGTGTGGAGTGTGTCGAGTTTGGTGGCAGGAGAATCTCGTCTCTGCTTTTTGCGGATGATGTGGTCCTCCTAGCTTCATCCAGCTCTGACCTTCAGCTCTTGCTGGGTAGGTTCGCGGCCGAATGTGAAGCGGCTGGGATGAGGATCAGCACCTCCAAATCTGAGACCATGGTTCTCGACCGGAAAAGGGTGACTTGCCACCTCCGGGTCAGGGGAGAGGTCCTACCTCAAGTGGAGGAGTTTAAGTATCTCGGGGTCTTGTTCACGAGTGAGGGTAGGAGGGATCGGGAGATCGACAGGCGGATTGGTTCGGCGTCTGCAGTGATGCGGACGCTGAGCCGATCTGTCGTGGGGAAGAGGGAGCTGAGCCAGAAAGCCAGGCTCTCGATTTACCGGTCGATCTACGTCCCAATCCTCACCTATGGTCATGAGCTTTGGGTAATGACCGAAAGAACGAGATCGCGGATACAAGCGGCCGAAATGAGTTTCCTCCGTAGGGTGGCCGGGCTCAGCCTTAGAGATAGGGTGAGGAGCTCGGACATTCGGGAGGGACTCGGAGTAGAACCGCTGCTCCTCCGGATCGAAAGGAGCCAGTTGAGGTGGTTTGGGCATCTGGTCAGGATGCCTCCTGGACACCTCCCCGGGGAGGTGTTTCGGGCATGTCCTGCCGGCAGAAGGCCCCCGGGTCGACCCAGGACACGTTGGAGAGGTTACATCTCCAATCTGGTCCGGGAACGCCTTGGGGTCCTGCCGGAGGAGCTGGTGGACAAGGCCGGGGAGAGGACGGCCTGGAGCTCCCTGGTTGGGATGCTGCCCCCGCGACCCGGACCCGGAAAAGCGGAGGAAGACGAAGACGAAGACATTAGTCATCTGGCTCTGAAAGGAGCTAGACAAGAGCAGGTCAGTTTTCATTTAATGACAAATAAAAACCAAAGTAAAACAAGAAAGAAGCTAAAAGCTGCTAATATTTAAAGTTAGTTTATTTTAAGTAATTTGGGATTAACCCTAAATTCATCAGAATATTCTGAACAACAGCTGGGATTTAGTCTTGCGATCGTCTGCACATTTTTCAGTATTTGTGAGATATTTTCTGGATGATCGTCATGGATATTTTCTGGATCATTTCTGGTTCTTCATTTGTTCAGAAAATGTTTTACATTCATAAAAAGTGCAAATCTGCTAAGTGTTGATTTTCAAAGTTGCTAATGCAAATGGATTCATGAATGAATGAATGAATTACTGTTACTTGATTTAGAGGGACAGTGTGCATTAATACACATTTTACTATGCAAATGTTTCCAGTTATAGCCAAGAGGCTAATTTCCATTGGTAGTCCCCCGCATGAAGGTGGAAAGTTTTTCACACACTATTTTTGGGCATGCAGAAATGTGACGGATCAGCGACTCTACTCTGATGCAAAGTAGATGGAGTGTCTCTCCTTTGTCTTTTACATCATTTCTGATTTGCCCTCCATCCATAAAACCATCAGCCATCATTTTGTGTCCGCCTTTCTGTTCATTCCTGCTCATTATTTTCTGACTTGTAACAACGTTACCACTCTCCAGCTTTAATGTTGTATGAGTTGGACAAACTCTTTCTCCTCTCTGGAAACTCCAGATGCTGTCCTGCTTCCTCATTATTGCCTTGCCACCAGCGACACCGTTTTCTGTCTCACTTACTGAACTCCTTCTCCTAATGCTGTCTATTTAGGATTTTTCTTACAAACACTAGATGAACTCGAATGCAGGTCTCGGTGGAATCTCGTGTTTCTTGAAGGTTTTTGTTTAATTCTGGTTTTGATTCAGCTGCTGGAAAGAAAATCTTAAAGATAAGCTTTTGAAGGTTTTTTTTAACATTCTTCTAATGAGGATAATTTAGAGGAAGTTGTGTTTGAAGAACAAACATGTTTTGGATGAATCAGAAGTTCATTTATAGTCGTATTTTATTTAGTGAGAACTGGTCATTTTTTTCTTAAAATCCAGAATTTGGATTTTGTTTAACAAAATAAAAGCTGGTAAAAATAAGTGAATTAGTTTCTTCAGTAACATAATTTATTAAGTGATCTAAAAGAAGCAGAAGTTATTGACAGATAAAATCAGTTTTAACAAATCATCTAAATCTAGAGTTTATGTGAGATATGTATGGTGATGTCTTCTAAAAACAGATCAGATGTTTGTGATCCTGCCAGTGATGGACAAGGTTTCAGGAGCTTCCTCTGTCGCTACTCTCCCCGAGTGGTGAGTGACTCGAGCCCGTTTCTCACCATCTTCGTGTTTCCACGCTTGTCTGTGAGTCAACCGAGATGTGTGACAGATGAGTGTTGAGAGACAGGCGGGAAGCCGATTCAGCCCAGCGACTCCTTCCAGATTTTGGCATGCCGACGACGTCTTCTCTCACACGTTATTTCTCTCCTCATCTCATCACTTTGACAGAAAGAACGAAACTATGTGCTAGAGGAGAAGAAACAGGACAAAAAGGGGAACGCAGATTTAAGAGATGTTTGTGTTAGAGAACATTCTGGGAGTCTGAGAGCCTGAGAGGGAATGTGTGTGTGTGTGTGTGTGTGTGTGTGTGTGTGTGTGTGTGTGTGTGTGTGTGTGTGTGTGTGTGTGTGTGTGTGTGTGTAGGATTTAGAGTAGAAACCCTGTGTCTTTATGAACTTAAAGTCAACCTGGTCTCCTGCAGAGCTGCTGCCTGATCACCGTGGAAACGGTACCTAATGACTTTGGGTAGATTATTAACCATTTTCTGTATATTTTGGTTTTATTTTCTTGAAGCCAATGCTGAACATTTTCTCTTTCTGCTGCTTTTTTGGGTAAAACAGGAAAATAGTGGAAGAAAAGTAAATGTGTGGAACACTGAAAAATGTTTTTTAAGTCTTATTCCTGATTATAATCGGTCATCCTGAGTTTTTCATGCAGGCTGAATATGAAAATGGTATCGTACACCTATCATCTGCAGGAGCTTCTGATAGAAAATAGACTGCGAAACTCTAACGTCTTAGCTGGTAGAAGCTAACCATTAGCATTAGCAACTCCACAACATGGCAGAACTCCTTTAGTCTTGAGTTATTTATGGAGATAAAACATCAACGTTGCAGAACAAACAGTCAGTGGTAGAGTTGTTTTGCTGTTAGCCAATCAGAGGCGAGATGTCCAAATATCAGGAAATTAGACTCATAAACCTGTTGTCTGATGTTACCACTCCTCTGTCTGATTTCTCTGTGCTGAAACAGGAGCATCTGAGCTTTTCTTCCTGCTACAAGCTGAGAAGCTCCATTTGTGATGTCACAAATGGGTACTTCCTGAAACAGCATGTTTTAGGCGCATAATGGCTCAAATCAAACACTGAGACAATAGATGGACTTTTTTTTGTACATTTGAAGTGTTTTTAGAGACTGTAGAGACCCACATAGCAGCACAGAAGGATCCAAAAGGTGAGTCTGCATAATATGTCCCCTCTAAATTCAGTCTGCTTAGGGAATCCAGGAAGCAGCTGAAATCTTTTTAGATTCACAAGAGAAAATAAATAACAATAAAGGAATCCATCTAGCTTGCTTCAAGCTATGTTGATAGGAGCAATACGCTCAGCTCCATCCGATTAACTGTGTGCAAAGATGATTTATTTCCAGGGGGACTTTGGATAAGATTTAATACCAGGAAGGGTTCATAATTCTTGTATTAAGCATTACGGAGGCAGCATTCTTCTACATGAAGCTTTGAATTAGCTTGGCTAGTGCAGAATGTCACACATTGCCTGACATAATTTTATTACGGAGGTCATTAATTGTAGGTTTTAAAGCAACAACCTCAGCAACACCAATATGACATTTAATTACAGGTCCCTAAAAGGTTGCCATAGAGCAAAAGTAAAAAAAAAAAAAATTTAAACAACATATTTTTTCTCTGTTTAGTAAGTATTCAGACCTTTCTTATCAATCCTTTTCAAGAAAGTTGGAAAGTTTTTCTAGTGACATTGTGTTTGTGCAGGAGTCCTCTGCCCAGCTGAAGCTACAGTGGGAACATTTAACCTCTCTTTATCCTCACTGCAAATTCATAAATCCACCACCGGTGAATGTTTAGTTTTGAAACGCATTAAAATGTTATTTTTCTCTACATTTGGTCTTTCCAGTGATGAGTCTTCTACACTGTCCATTACAATTAGACATGCGTGGTCTATCTCTGAACTATGTCTATGCTCTCAGGACATTGTTAATCTTATCTCAATACTTTTAGTAGGTTTCTATTTTAAGTCTGTTATTTTTCTCCCTCTTGCTGCAGATCTGGTGTCTACAAACAGATCATCCATCTTCAACGGTCATGATGGCCAGCTCTCTCTTAGCGCCATCTTTCTTGATGAGTACCGTGATCGGCTTTTCCTGGGAGGGAAAGATGTCCTCTACTCTCTCATGCTGGGTCCTGTCAGCAGTGAGTCCAAAGAGGTGAGATTTTAGTGGATACTAAAACTATTCATGTAAAACTATAAACATACTTTGTACTTTTGCAAAGGTTAATAGTTGATGGTCAAAAATTGGGCATTGCATTGCATATTTTCTTACACACTGCATGCATTTTTATGCAAGTGACTGATATTGTGCAAGTGGTGATGACATATATGACATGCTACACATTTACTTTTTTTCCTCCAAAATTTTCCTTCAGCCAAACATCTGTTTAAGTCTAGTCTGCCATAAACCATGCACAGATGGGGGGTGCAGTCATGAAACTTGAATTGACACTTTATTATAACAACTGTTGCATCATTGGTTAAATGTGGAAAAGATTAAATGCAGTTCAATAAAACAAATCAATTTCCAGAAAAAGAACAATGAATGTTCATCCCTTTTTAAAAGTAAATGTATGACTGTTAGCCAATGGTTACCTACTCAGTTGGCCTGAATACATACAGTAAACTAGATCCTTTCCCTTTGCATCTCTTCGCCTACCGTGCATGAAAGACAAAAACAAATCCGACTCCACGTTGAGTTTTAGACCAGATCTTTGCCTCTGTCAGTTCGCCCCAGGGCAGCTGCGGCTACATCGTAGCTCATCACCATCAGTGTGTGAATGTGTGATTGATACACTGTAGTATAAAGCGCTTTGGAGTCCTTACTCGGAGAGACGCTATACAAGAGCGGGTCATTTAACATTTCATCTTTTTGTTGTGAGGAGTAATTGAAAACCACAAAACTGCCCTTCAAACTAAATGTAGATAAAACTGATGAGTCATAAGTTTAAACATGCAAATTGCTACTGAAGTGGAAAGTTTTGGCTCAGAGTAAAAAACTTTTTATAAATATCATTATAAAACTTTAAAAGTATTCAAGTTATTGTACGAAGCATTCTAATGCACTGTTTAGCAAAAATCAATAACGGTCAACATTTGCACGTAAATGTAGTTGTTTTATCTCCACCACTCTGAGAGAAAAAAAAAAACAGTGTTATAGCAGCAGAGTGAATCTTGGTGTTAAAATACCTTTTTCCACAGTGCATTAATTCAGCCAGCCCACACTCAGCTTGGGCGGTAACAACAAGGGAACAATTTATACTTCACATTAGATTTTAATCCATATTTAATGTAATTTATTACAGGGAGTAGTGGCAGGGTTTTAGTCTGATTAATGCTTTTAGTGAGCTATTATACCTCCTATCATTGCATGTTTATTCAAAGATTTGTCGGGAGGGAAATAAGTGAGCTTAAATTCAATTTGTATTTTATTTCACCAACGTGCAATTTCAGAATGCTTCAGGAAAGAAAGACATATCCTTCCTGAACATTACTCTAACATATAAAGGCACTCTGTGTTCCAAAAACGTGGTTTGTACCCAACAAAAATAATGTTTCAGAGCTTATATCCCCAGTGCAGTCCAGCTAGGTGCATAAAGAACAGAATAAGTGTGTGTGTGTGTGTGTGTGTGTGTGTGTGTGTGTGCTTCCTTCCTTCCTTTCATATTGATGTGTATTGTCTCACCTAATCCTCTATCCCTCAGATTTAGTGGATTTTGAGGCAGATTATCCATGTTTCAGTTGAATTCTGTTAGTTTTTCTCTGTTAAATCATTGTTAGTTGAAGCACGTATAGCTTTTGTAGTACAACGCATCATTAAAATCAAATGGTTTGAGTGCCGATGGTGTATTATTTAAAATAACATGCTGACGTCATTGAGATGTTTATTAACTAGCCAAAGGGATAAAACATAGAAGTTGAAGCCAAAAAGAACAAAAATGCCATCTGATGGCATGGCTGCTGTATACATTTTAAGTCCAGCTCCCTGTCCAAATGTTTCCCTACTTGCTTGTATAAATCTGTGATATTCCATTACTTACAGTTAACCCACAAAACTAATAAAACACAAAATTAGCTCACTATAACTATTCTATATAATAAGGATTTCTCCATGCCAGAAGACAAACAAATTTAAATGGTCTTTAAAACTCCATCTTCGATTACTAAATGCATTTCCTTACGTTTGTTTTTCAGCCTGAAAGTAGGATTAGATGTTGCAGAGGTTTCATGTATTTCTTCATATTCAAACTCGTTTGTTTGGGTTTGGTTACCCTCTGAATGGTTCGAGCAGCGTTGTCTTAGTGATGGTGGAGATGGCATCCAGGCCAGCTTGTTTAGTGTTTCCTAACACCAGAAAGAGTGATCCCTTTTGGCCTGTAAAGAAGAAGTTGTTGATAAGTGGAGAGCATGTGTTGAAATGTAATGTTTCTCTTTGGTAGACTCTTTTTGTTCAATCGTCTTAGTGTTCCACTTCAGTCGTACAAATTTGTACAATCTTCGTGTGAGGACCAAAACTAGGAGGTAAAATTTGTACAATGAATTTATCATTTGCACTGAAGTAAACGTTAGGATTCAGTCTTCATTAAACGTTTGATTAGAAGTGTATTTAGTGATGTGTGAGGATAGTTGTAAAGTCCCTGACACCAGTCAGTCAGTGACTTGATGCAATTTGCTGGGTTCCTTATATAGGAAACTTTTTTCTGATTGGCTTAACAAACTGACCTGTATTGGAATGTTAAATGTGTGAAGTGCCTTGAGACGACTCTTGTTGTGATTTTTATGCTATAGAAATAAACTTGAATTGAACTGAAGTGAATTGAATGCTCTCTGAGAAAATAGATGGCAAAAAATTCAGATATACCTTTCTAAACAAGCTTTTAGTTTAAATGTTCAAAGTGCTGTGTTGGATTAGATCTCTTTCAGACTTCATGTGATGAATTCCAGATCTTCTGTTCCTTCCCAAGCTGTCATTTGTTTACATGTACAGATTAAAATCAAAAGACAACATGTGTTGGCGAGTGCTGTTTACTTCTCTTCTTAGAAAGGCATCTTTGCAGTGTAAATAGATGCTTAAATATCAAAGAAAACCTTGACGCAAGATGACACATTTGTGACGTCAGTTTCCTGTGACAGAATAAAACAGTTTACCTAAATCGTAATCAAAAGCAGCAGGTGGACAACACGTTCATGCTGATGTTTGGACAATAGGAAACATTTAGTAAAAACAAAACTATTTTGAGACAGTTTTGGGTTAGAGCTGGGTTTATTAGTATTTTGGTAAAGCATGTAAGGTCAGGGCTGCCATGTATAGGGGGTCCATATGGAATATATATGGGCAATCAGTATGGGTTCCAAAATGTTTTTGGTGGCTCCACAGGGGGGTGCCCTCATAGATATTGATGGGCCCTGCGTGGGTTTTCAGAGGGACCCAGGTGGGTTGACTTATACATGGGCCCATTAAATTCTTTCTGGGCAACCCCCTATGGGGCCACCATGAAACATTGTGGAACCCATACTGATTGTCCATGTATATTCCATATGGGGCCCACCTATGTATGCTGGCTGATGAAGGAGAAATATTTTCTCTCTTCTTGGCTGGGCTGATGGTGACTAGCAGCGCTGTAAAGGTGGCGCGCCTCACGACAGTGATGCACATCCTTTGCACATTTAGAGAGAATGCATCCTTTTGTGCTAAACAGGCTCCTCGTGGGGCGCATGTTACACGTCTCGAAGGGCGGCGCTAGGAGGAAAAGAGGATGGCTGGTGTTTACTTGGACACAGGGAGAGGTTCTTTTTCAGAAATCTGAGTTTTCGACAAGTAAATGACAGGAAAATCTAGTGGTATGCACCATGCTCTAGAAAAAAGTCCAGATATGCTGAGAGGTCCAAATAAGAAGTGGCGGTACTGCGCACCGCTGCGTGCCAGCCCATAAAGCACCAATCAAACGGCTTCCTGTCTGTTGTGGATCTTTTATAAGGGTTATGGTCTGGTTATCCAGACAAAGCTAGACTTGTTAACAGTTCAACTGAAGACTAAGAATACAATGTTGGCTACTAAATATCAAAGATCTTTGTGGCTCCTCATGTAAAAAATCTGAAGCTGGTGGTGGATTTGGGCAGACACAGGCTCTCTGCATCGGTACTGGTAAAAATCCATGGAACAGATTTTGGAGCTAGACTGGAGCCACAACACCGATGCTCTTTTCAAGCTCAGTGCAGACTCTACCTGCTGAGTAGGCTGAGGTCCTTTGGAGGGCAGGGGCACCTTTAAAGACCTTCTTTCTCTCTGTTTGTTGAGGATGTGGCTTATCTAAACCTACATACATGGGTTTATAATTTGACTTCTTACAAACTGTAGTAGTTGGCGTTTAGAAATGTGTGAAGGAAATGGTTTCTATCATTTTCATGGCTACATGATAAATTTAATCTTCCCCAGTCTCAATAAAACAATGTTTAAGTTCAGTAAAATTCATAATTGTTGCCGTGTGGATTACATAGCTGGACTACAGCAGGAATACAACACCACATGAACTCCAGTGGACTCACCAGGTGGTTTCTGCATTGGTTAGACACAGTTTAGTGTCGTCTGTCAATCAGATGGTCGGCAATTTGCTCCCAGCTTTCCCCACCCTCAGGGAAGCTGAGCTCCATGTGAGTGTGTGTGCTGATGAGTGAATGTGAACTGTGGTGTATCTTTTTACTAAATGTAATTATATGTATTTACAGTGAGTGTGGTACTTCTCGGGTAACCCAAAGACGTGAGGCACAGCAGCAAAATGTCTCCCACAGGACCCCCCACCCCCTCCAGATTAAAGTTTCAGGGTTTTCTGTGTTTAAACTCTTGTGAATTGTGATGCAGCTTTTCTTTCAACAAGCTAGAATTTATTTCCATTGACAGAAAACCTATTAGTAGACATTTTTACACTCAACTCTTAACAATTTTTAATTTTATTATCATCTATGGCTCAAACTAAAACTTGCTCTAATTTTCAGTCGGGTAATTTTTGGTGCCAAGTTTCAGTCAGACTGATTTACTCTGAGTCCAGCAGGTGGACTGTTATGATCTGGATTTATCGCAGAGGAGAAATAATCTGTCTTAGTTTTACTGCTGACATGAAACCTGAAGAAGTACAAGACAAGTTTTGATCCAGCAATTCATCTTTTTTACAGCTTCTAGTTCAGACTCGATGTATTTCTGTGGCTAACACGGGTTCTACACACGTACATGCGGTTTAGAGCACAATCGGCCAAAATTATGCAAGTCCAAACAATTGGCTTTCTCCTGCTGGCTGCTTTTATCTCCGTTAACCAAAACAAAGACCGTTTCCGCCTCGACCAGACTGAGACTTGCTGTTTTTATTATTCCTGTACAAACCAAGTTCTACTCGGAACATTAAAGCTCAGCAAACTTGGACTGGGACTGTCCTCTTCAGGGACAGTTTTTTCATTTTACATTCACAGACATCAGTGTGGGACCAGCCATGATCAAATCAAACATCTAACAGGGTTAGTTGTGTAGTTGGCACAATGAGAGGAAGTCTTTCCTGATAAGACTATTCTGGAACCTCTACTGTGAGAATTTCATTAGAACACTGAAAAATGTTTGACAGAAAAATAATAAACATTTTCTTTTTTTTAAGCCCATATGGTCTTAAATCAATATCCTGAAGGCATTTTCCGTTTCAGCACATTTCCTTTGCTTATCAGCGACCAAAGGTCTAGTTTCAATTCTTGGCACAAGTAATTGTAGATCTTAAAAGTTTGCATTGACCAAGGGACAATAATACGTCTCATGAATGTTGACTGAAGATCCTGATGGTGCTTTAACACTGAAAAAACTGTTTGCTTCACACTGACCCCAAAATACACATGATTAATTTAAACAACAGAAAGTAATGATGGTTGAGGGGATTAGATCTCCAGATATTGGACTTTTTTCCCGGATCTTTTTTCTCTTAACTCTGAAGCAGCATTTTGTTTAAAAACAACTTTTAAGAACTTATTTAAATTATCTTTAAAACTTTAATGTTCTGAAACTTAAAAACCAGGAAAATCATGTCTCCTGTTTTAAAACAGCAAAACCATCATGTTTTACAGTCTTATGCTGCTTTTTGCAAAACAATAGTTTCATAATGACTAAATGTAGTGGTTTGGTAAATTAGCTTCCATTTTCTGCCAAGTCTAACTTTTCTAGAGAATAATTCATATTTTATTACACAGAGGCAGATTTTAATGTGTTTGTTGTTTTAAACAAAACATTGTGGTCCCATTGAAACAACTGCATTTGCTAACATGGCTGAATATAATGGCTGTTTGCATAAATTCAAAGTTATGAAAGAAACTTTTTTTGTGTTATTTAATTTTCTATAGATCTATTGGCCACCGTTGCCTGGCAACAGAGAAGACTGCATCCAGACAGGAAAAGAACAGGTAAGCATCCAGCAGAGAACTCTCGACACCTTGTTGAAATGATCAATATCTGTTTTATTTATAACTTGGCTAAATGAAGCAATGATTTACACTTCATGTCACAGACCTGTCATGGTAGCAAAAGAATATGTTTTACTTTGATAAAATGTGTTTACTTGAATTTGACATGGAGGATCTTACCTCTAGTTACAGTTTGGTGTCTTTTCTCATCTCTTTCGACCTTCTACAGGGACCTACCGTCGTTTCCTACCTGTGCTCTATAACTAGCGCTGTTGGTCATTTCCTGCCTGCCTGCTGAGTTTTTTTATTTACTTTCCCACTTGTCCTTCCTCTGTAACAGTTGATCCTCACGTCTGTCATCAGAATCCCATTCTTTCTTTTAGAAACTTGGACTATGACATTTGAATGCTGCCAAAAACAATACAACCAAACCTTCAAATTTCTGCTTAAATTGCAAATGAATTTTGTGCAAAATGTATCCACCTAGTCAGAGCTTTGTGTGACACGAGACTGTGACGTTAGTGACAAAAATGTTGCTAACCCACTTACTTTATTTAGGTCTAAATAGTGTTAATATAACAATTTGGGCCGATATCAATATCCAATATTAATACTGCCATTATGGCCGATAACCAATATTTATCAATACTGAATATTTTATATACAACCGTATCATCCGCATCGTTCTCTGGTTCAGTTAAAGACCCCCACACTTCTGCATCACTATCACTGTCTCTCTCTCTCTCTCTCTCTTTCTCTCTCTCTCTCTCTCTCTCTCTCTCTCTCTCTCTCTCTCTCTCTTTCTCTCTCTCTCTCTCTCTCTCTCTCTCACTCACTCACTCACTCACTCACTCACTCACTCACTCACTCACTCACTCACTCACTCACACACACACACACACACACACACACACACACACACACACCTCCCTGAAACACTTACATGAACTACAACAGGATGGAATGTAATATTTATTGTCAATATCAGCCCAGTTTTACTTATTGGATGGTTGCCGATTTGTTAAAGGTCTACATCACTGAAAACACATTTTTTAATTATTATTTTTAATTATTATTTCTGATTGTAATCGGTCACTGAGTTTTTCATGCAGGCTGAACACCTATCTCCTGCGTTAGCTTCTGATAGAAAATAGGTGGTGAAACTCTAGGATGTGAGAAGCCTGACAGATCTACATCACACTGTCACTTAACATTCATGGACACACCCATCTTGGCTCCTAAGGAAGGCTGTTTTTCTTTTAGCTTCCAGGAAACGGAATGTCTTGGCTAGTATAAGCTCATTGTTAGCATCAGCAACTCCACCACATGGTAGAACTTCTCCAGGCTTGTGTTACTATTTGTGGAAATAAAACATCAACATTGCAGAGCAAACAAAGCCAGTGGTAGAGTCGCATTGCTGTTATCCAATCAGAGGCAAGGTGTCCAACTATCAGGAAGACTCCAAATCCTGCCGTCTGAAGCTCAACTCTGGTCTGGCTCAGCTCTAGTTCCTGGTACAGGCTCACCAGAGCTTTTTCCCCCAAAGTACGACTCACAAAGCATTTAATCCTACTAGAGACCACTGCAAATGTGTTAAAAAATGAGTAAAGCTGATTTTTAACAATTATCAACATCAGCCGATAACAGTGTTGATTCTAATGTTTTGTGCAACCCAAGTGATAAAGGTATAGAATAGCTCTTTTAATATTCTTTTGGGAACTTTTTGCAGAGAAACGGAGTGTAGTGAAGCTGTGATGCTACAGGGATGAAATGCATCATCAGAAAGGTGCTTGGATGTTCCTTGATTGGCCTTGCTTGGTATGGCATAAAAAAATGACTCAGAAAGGAGGCATTTACCTTGATTTTGCCTTCTTACACTTCAAACGTGAAACCGTTTGATATCAGTGACCAAACCTGAGCTGAAAATGGTCACGAAACACAAAACAAAGAACAATTGAGGAAAGTTGCTGCAGTGTTATTTATGTAACATTCCAAAAGGGTAAATTTTCACTTATATATTGATCAACATAATAACTTTTCATCTACAGCATAAATCCACTTTCTATTTGGCCTTCTAAATCCAGAAGGTTCTGCTCACTGCGTGTTGACTTTCCATGAAGACAAAACATTCAAACAAACATTCTTTCCCAAGGTTCCTGCACTCTGTGTGTGAATGCCAAACGTCAACATTCTTCACTCTGAATAAGAGATGACTCCACGATGTTATAGTTATAGTTATGTGATGAATGAGCAACATGTTTAAATGAAATGTTTGAATAATCTGTGCTTAAATCAATGAATTTGAAATGAACATTGTTCTTGCAATGATCCATTTATATCACAAATCAGTGTTTGATTTAACAAGTTAATCATTGTTTACACTCCTACACGTTACAATAAGATACATTTAAGGTTAAGAATTTTGTATCTGAAGGTAGGCGTGGCTTTCTGAGGGATGTTGGTAAAAACTCAGAAACGTGTCAAACTCTGATTGGCCAGACTTGGCCAGAAATCATAACAAAGCAGTTTAATAAAACAAGAATTACTTCCAGAGTAATCTCAGACAGGACGGGTCCTATCGGAACTGTCTACGGTACGGGTTCCTGATATCAAGAGGTTCACTCCACCGGCAGTGACCATCGACCCCCCCTGATCGAACGAGAACCTCCACACCAAGGGTGCGTAGACTTGGCACGACAGACTGTGTCTGATGTTGTTTTTAATAAACAACTCTCTAGTTTAGAACAAACAACAAATTGTTTTACACCCAGATTTCATAACTTCTCTCAGATACAAAGAACGGTTGCTACAACATCTAGCTTCCATCACAACACCTCACATCCACCACATCACATCTCATTATTCATATCTTGTCTTTCATAAATTATTAGTTTAGGGAAAAGAATTTAATTCGTTTTATAAACTGTATACTGACTCTGTCTGAATTAATACGAAGTGTGTTTATGGTCCCTGAATAGGCAAAGAACCCTAGAATCTTCTGATTAAACATTCAAAGATCAATCAGATTGATATTTCATATTTATATGGAATAATCACATCTTATTGGTCATAATTAATATGTATTAATTGCTACATTTATAATGCATACATTCGTCTCATTGATTCATTCACACTGTGAATACACGACACATGAATTACAGAAACATAGTAATATTTGCAGGTTTCTACTCACAGCAAGACATCTGACAGCCACCCCATCTGGAAGAGGTTAGCCATTGTATGTCTGTGTGTGTGTGTGTACATGTATATGTTCTAAGTGTTTGAAGTGGCAGGTGTGTCCAGGGTGTCTTATATCAGTTTTATTAAGTGTTTCCTATGTGCTGCATATAGAGCTTGTGTGTTTGAGTGCACTGTCTGCAGCAGAGCAACGGTACAATGGATTATTCGAAAGCTCATGACTTGTGTGTGACTTTATTGTGCTTGTAAAGGAAAAAGCAGTCGAGGGAACCTGCCTGTTTCTGTATGTGTGAACCAGATCGAGATGTTTGTCGGGTTTTGTGGAATTAAACAGACATTCATTCCTTTGCGGATCTTGTGTTCAGAGTCCTTTGGTGCCAGATTGGGTGAATTATTGTTGTATTGTGAGGCGTTTTAGAAGAGAAAGGACTCGTGAGGATGGGCCACATGTGATAAATCTCACACTTTTGCTGTGCAGGTCTGTTCACCACCGACAAAACGGAGGCATAGGTTAAAAGGTTAAAGGTTGTTGCTTCTTTTTACGCGCGCGCGCGTGTGTGTGTGTGCGTGTGTGTGTGTGTGTGCGCGCGCGCAGGGCATTCACTTATTCCAGCTAAGCGTGCACCGTCTTGCTTTGGCTCTTGCCTTTCTCTGCTTCATCTGTTTGCACGTCTAGCTTAAAACTGGACTCAGATCAGCTAATATTCTTTCTGCCACTGTAAACCTGTAATTACAAAACAATCAGCCAGGGAAGAATTCAGTTGACAAGAAGATAGCAGTAGACTAGCTAGGTTAAATAATTGTCTTTTTAAAGGTTAATTTGCAGATTAGGGAAGTCGAGAAGAACTGATTTGTTCACAGCAGTTCACCTTCACATGCACAGTGCAAAGAATCAACAAGCAGGAGTATAATGGTGCCGTTTTTTGGATTTAATCAGGATGCATCATTTTATTAATATTTTTTACCTTAAAATCTGACCCATTTAGCTGGTAGAAAGTGGGAAAATTTGGTAGAAATAAAGAAAGTTTCTCATCTTCTTTTGTGATGCTGGAAATAAGTGAAGAAAACTGGATGAGTTGAGGATTAACTGCGGCAGAGACCCAAGGCTTGGAAGGACTAGTTTATTCAGCTGTGCAGCTGTCCAGATATTTTACTTACAGATCCTTCTCAAAAAATTAGCATATTGTGATAAAGTTCATTTTCTGTGTAGAACTGGCTGGCTGGTCAAACTGTAGCGTTGTGGTTTATGCTCTTTTATGAAAGAGGAACCATTCTACATTGTAATTTGTGATATTAATTTTATTAAATTAATAACCAAATTGTATAGTTTTAAGAAGACTCAAAGGTTGTTTTCATCGATAAAATGTCGATAATATCCGTGGGTCTGTGCTTCAGTTCAATGAAGAAACAAGTTTGACAATTAAAAGTTTTAATTCTTCAAATTAAACTAATGATTTTGAAATTGACAAACAGGAAATAACAATCAACATTGGCAACTTTGTGGGACAATCTTTAACAGTTGATATGCTGTTCTTGCTCAAATAGACCTTGTGATGAGTGTGTGAAGATTGAATATGAGGTGAGCTGAGTGCGGGTGTGCATCAGATTTTGCTTCAGGAAGAAACAGGTGTCTGAGTGAAAAGTGATGGTTTGAATAAACTTAGGTTTAGTTGGAAAAGATGTATCAAAACGCTATCTGTCGTGTTCTGCCTCACCGAAAATCGGACTCCCTGTTGGACCCGGGACGTCACCTTAGGATGATGTTTCATCCAGGGCACCTTGGCTGGCAAAGAAGACAAAGA